TGGGGGGGGGGGGAGGGTTATAGAATTCTGGCTGCAGGGGTTTCGTGGACTTTAGGGGTTTCGTGGGTTTAGGACGGGTTTCGGTTTCAGGGTGCAGGGTGTTGAGCAGGTCTGGGATTTAGTGCGGTGATTAGGTTATAAAAATGGGCACACTTGAAATGATTAACGGGCTTACGGCCTTTCAGGAATTGCGCGGGCTCTTGGTCTCAGTGGACATTCCGAATGGCATTCCCAATCTGCATGCTGGGATACTGGGCGTTTCAACAGCTGGCGAAAGAGAACTCTAGAATCGCCTGGCTGAGAAGCTGAGCACCCAGCCTTTCGTTTTGCGCCCGAGCAGCCCTTCAAGGGTCTATGGGCCTACAATCCTATACTAGAGCATGCTACCATGTACAGTGGCTATACTATGCTCTGCTCTACTCTATAACATAAAAGCCTCCGACCCTCCTCCGACCCTCCCAACAGGCACCCACATGCATCACAGACCATGGCCATCCTAGCGCCTGGGCAGACGTGCTCCCGGAAGTCTTGCTTTGTCTTCTTTTTGGGGGCGGCGAATAGACGTATCCTATAACCTAGCCCAAAACCCTTTTCCCTTTCATTAAGGCCCCTACATATGTAATCCCCCAACACCGTACTGAGGAGCTTCAGAAGATAAGGAGATGAGGCAGCAGGCCTACAAAGGTATTCCTACTTTCAAGAAGGCCGTGTGGTGAAGGTGGGCTTGGCAGTTGATGTTGATGTAGGTTGATGCCTTGCTCCGCTTTTGCAAGCGTTGGTAAAGCCTAGTTGAGCTTAACTGAGCTTCGGCTGCGTCAGTGTGGAGTTTAGCCTTGTCAAGGAGCTCTGCATTGCCTTGACTTCACATACAGAGGCTTTTCGCTTGGGTTGAGGGGGAGGGCCGCACTCAGTTCGGCAAGCTGCAAGAGTGGAAACTTGAGTCCCTGAAAGAAGGATGCCCTCTGTCCCCCCTGTACCGATCATCTACGAAAAAACACGGGCTTTCTTTCCAGAGATGGGATTCGGCGGGCATCTGGAAGCTCAGGATGAGGGCCTCATGCGCGTGGGCGTCGGCGCCATCGGCGAGATCACTGTGGCAGGGCCCGGTCTGGCCTCTGGGTACCTGACCTTCCGGCTGAAACGTCAAGGGGTTCTTTTTGTTCAGACGGTTGTTGTTGTTGTTGGTTGGGCGGGGGGCAAGCAGCCGTCTGTAGTTTGGGCTTTTGGGGGAGTGTTGGGGTTGTGTTTACTTCTGAGGGTTGTCAGACTTGGTTTCCTACCCTTGCAGTTGCTTTGGGATCGGTGTCCTTGGAAGTATTTAAGTTTTGCTGACAACCCCTCAGCAGGCCAGACTCATCAGAGTAACACTGTAGTCATGATTCATGATTGAAAACAGCACCCACGCACATGTAACATGTAAAAGCACCTGCCGTAAATACGAGTTGTGTGCATGTATGTATGTATGTATGTATATACCTACAGACGGACATACATACTGAAGGACTGACTGGCTGGCTGGAGAACTCCTGGCAACGACTTGGGCCCACCCTCTGTTTGTCCGAAGGCGTCAGCGAAGCTAAGGAATCTGCCAGAGAAGACGGCCGAAACCTTCCTTCCTGCCTGCCAAGCTCTTGATGGTCGACGGGCCGTACGCACTGGGGACGCTCGGCCTCAGTTCGGTCTTTTTGTCACGGATCTTGAGACTGTTGCGCGGTGCAGAGCTGGAGGGTACTTGCATGATCTCGCATGGTGCTGGGAACCGCGAAAAGGTGGCAAATCTTGGGGTCGAGACTTGCCAAGCTGTTCGGACGCTGGGCTTGCGGGTTCGTGTGTCCAGCTCAACAGCTTCGATTCACGGATTCTGCCAACATCGTCGACGAACTCTGTTTGGTGACTCCAACGTTCGTTCTGTTGAGGTGATACGCATGGTTCGCAGTGGCTTTTGTCAGGTGCAGGAATTGGGGTTCTTTGGTATTAGAGGTCCTTCTCGGGAGGAGGGGTCGCTACATTAGGATCCTACGATCTGGGGTCTGTAATGGCGTCCCCTCTCTGAAACCATGCAAGGACCTGGCGCTCTGGACGAACACCGGCAAGTTGAAGTTAGTCGGCCGAAGAGACTCCATGGTCAAGGCTGGAACATCCGTGTTCTTTGCTGATTCCACTTCCGGAGGGGCAAGGGCCGTGGACCTCAGGGAGTTGTCTTTGATTTGCGAATCGGAGACAAGTCGCTTATATGGCCTGTGGAGCACATGTCGGGTTGCTTTGTCTAGGTGGAAGGCTGTTCGTCCGCGCATGCTGCCCTTATGCCACGGAGCTCTTTTTTGCTGAGGGCTGGCATCGAAGTGCACCAGCTTCACCAGCAGCTCTATTGTCATAGTCACAGTCACCACCACTAGCCTCAGCATCGTCATCATCGCCAATTCGAGCCCTGTGCCTCATCTGCTCGTGTTTGAGGTCCGTGGCGCCCGGATAGAGCTTGGAGAGGCACCGGGTCACTCCCTCCTGGTTGCGAGCGCAGTCAGCGCAGTCTTGTTCAAGCACTGCGTCTGTTCGGGAATTCACAAGCCAGTAAAAATGTGTCAACGGCGAGATTTCGGAAGTTGCTGAAGTTCCAGCCAAAGCTCGGTTTGCCAGCCCAGGGTCGGTGAGGCTCTGGGGCCTGCGAGGCCCAAATGCCTTTGGATACCGCTGGGAGTGAAAGGCTGCTGAAGTATTCCGAGCAAACGAACGTAACATCGACAGGTAGAAGGCACTCTTGCCGCCCACCCAGCCGTCAAGTTCGCCGTGGTAACCGTGCACGAGGAGCATGGGAGCCTGGAGGTTTCTCTTGAGTAGACTAACAATCGCAGCGTTTGCATGGTTTCCACAGATGTCCGGGGCTGTGCCTAGCCTCACAAGCCAGATAAAGTCGGGCCTCTCTCTGAGTTGTTCTTTTGTTTCGTCATTCCTCCACCGTTGCTTCTTGTCGGATGAAGTGTGTAATGAAGGACTGATGCCAACCCCCCCAGACGCGAGGACAAGCTGGTAGCTTACATTCACCCGGCCGTCCCGGCCAACCTGCGCGACTTCTGCAAGGAGACCTGGGCCGAAGCATTCTCAACCAAGATAACCTGCTTTGGAGTTTCGGGTGCAAGGTTCAAGGCATAGAGTGTAGGTTTCGGGTTTGCTCTTGCCTTAACAGGGGGTGAGAGTTGCGTGGGCGTTGGCCGGCCCCTCAGTCCGTGCGGAAAGGTCTGCGATACATCGGTGCATCAAGCAAAGCTTCTAGGGACGGGGGCTGGCAGATCGTGGGCCTTGCAAGGAGCACTTGGTGTCCTACATGGTGCCGCACATTTTCCAAGGCCTCGAAGAGGCCACCGACACTGAGATTGGGAGGAGCACTGGGATTTCAGAGACGGACGTGACTCTTGAGCTGGCTCGAAATGGGGGCTCTCAATGCGGCTGTACATTTCCCGAGGAGCGTATTTGTCTCTGTGTTTGTGCGCGTGTTGCTGCCCAAATCCTTGTTTAAGTGTATGTGTGTATTAGGCTGCAGAAAGCGAAAGCCCGAATGCAGCTACGCTGGCAGCCACTGTTCCAGGTTCCGCGGCTACCCACCGGCAAAGTGAACAAGAAGGCACTGCCAAAGCCGGAGGCAGCGTGCTGCCGGTTCAGGCTTTGCTGCGAGCAGAGGGGTAGATTGGGAAGAGGCGGCCTTCGCGGGAGATCTTAGAGGCTAAACGCGAGCTACACTTTGAATTTGATTCTGGGGCCCAGGCCCATCCTCGAAAGCCTGGGGCCAGCCCTCCGCCCTGCGGCTGACAGGCGCGCGAAGATGGTGCAGAGGTCGTGATGGAGCTGGACGCCGCTGTTTGATGATAAACCAAAGGTTCACTAGGGCATTAGGATTTAGGCACAGGACGTGTTGGGTGCAGCTGTTTTTTCTAGCTACCGGGCCGACGTTTGGATTTTGGATGCGAAGCCTCGAGACCGATGCGCATGAACATCCACAGCCGCGTGCAGATATGGTACCACCCTGAATTGTCAGCCACCTTTCGGCTTTCTGAGCTCGCCCCAACAGAGCTTTGTGGAGGACAGCTTGGGTCAGATGCGCAAGTTCACACGCAAGGCTGCATCGGAAGACAAGGCACCACTGAATGATTCTTGCGGTTTCTTGGAACTCTCGGCGGCTGAAGGGAGGGAGGCCGTGGTTCTAAGGAGGGCCACCCAAGAAAGCACATGCATGGGACATCCGGAATGTCAGGATTTAGACTTCGGGCTTGATGTGTGAACTCAACAGGTGCATCGGTGCATCTTCCCGATGGGCCTTCTGTTTGGGATTCATGCGCTGTCGCAATCCTCCAGTACGATCGTGCCAGACGGACGAGTAGACGGCAGCTCTCAAATTCAACTGCAGGTCCTGGACAACGTGCGCGCAATTCTCATTGGCATCGTACTCCATTCACATGCCATTCCACTGTTGCTTAACGGCATTTGTCCGGGTGGTTCGGATCCGCTGGGAGCTGGGGAGCATGACAGCCGGAGGCTGAAACAACACACAGGTCAGCACTCGGGTTCCAGGTAACTCAAGAAAGGTCGTCTGAGCTCATGCAGTCCTCTTGCAGCCGAAGCATCCGCGCCTGCCCTCGGACCCCTCGCAACAGCCCTCTCCCAAGAAGCCGTTGCCATAGCAGGATCTGCACCGAATAATAGGAGTCCTAGCATGTTCCTGGCTTCAGGAATCCGTCCAACCCCTCCGAGATGATCGACGGCGAGTTTCAACCCCTTGCCTCACACCAGTGGGGTCCCGGAGAGTTGCTATTGCTGCAGGCGGCGCAACGACAAGAATCACGTGGGGGGTGTTGGAGCTCCATAAAAACAACGATCTCATCTTTATGAGGGCCCCTGAGTCTCTGAGTAGCTCCACAGAGTTTTCGCGGACTTGGAGCTAGATAGCGCAAGTACAGCCGGCGAAGTTTTTGACGCGGAGGGCGGCCGCTCTTTCCCGCTAAGGCTATAGAGGGGAGGCTTCAGCATCTTTAACTGAGTTAAACCACTCACCAGTTGTTACTTACCGTAGATTCACAATCTTTCCGGCGGCCCGGGCCCGACTCGGCCACAAAGGGAGGTAGGGTAACAAGTATGTCCGTCTTTTTGTTGGGCAAGAAAAGAGTCCCCGCACGTTCTTCAAAGTCGCCCCCACCTTGCTTTCTGCTGTTTCTGGGGCCCCGCCCCCTCCGTGGTAGAAGTGCAGCCATGTCATAGGTTTAGCGCCTTTCGCATGGAGGTGGTTCGAAGTGGAGGATGGTCTTCTTTGGCATTCCTGAGCTTCGCGCTTAGCTGGGCGAAGGGACCTTCGGGGCCTTGGTTTCTCACCACTGCATACCTGAAATAGGAAATTGAGGCGACGCAGGGGCAGAAAGCAAAAGAGCTTGGAACGGCGGATGCCCAGTCTTTTCCAAACCTGGCTCACGAAGAAAGGCCTCATCTCTGGAAAGTCATGGTCGCCCGAATGCCCTCTGCCAAAGAGAGCCTGTTGCCTTGCCTGAGGTGGCTTCGACGACACACGTGCCATGCGCCCGTACGGCCTCACTTACCGCGAGCCTCTGTCACTCGGGCTGATGTTTTATAGGGGACCCATCTTCTCAAGGTTCCTCAATACAACTGCACTACAAAATACGTACCACAAAGCCCTGTATTCTAATTTCTTCCGGGCCTTGTCTGATTCTTTTTGCCGCTTCCTTCGCCTGCCATGGAATTTACTCGAACTTCGCCGAGCAGCACTATTTGCGGGTTGGTGTCTTGCTTCCAATCTGTAACAGTATCCTTGCCTCGGTGGTGAGTAATCTAGGACGTTCAACGCACGGTTGGCACATCTTGGCATTAGGTTCTGTAGATCCAGACCTGTAGAAAGAGAGCCTACCCTCATGGAATACAAAGGCCGCAAGTCGTAAAATGCAAAGCTTGAGGTTTCTGGTCCTGTGGCTTCTCTTGGACTTCAACTGGACCATGCGGCCGGGATGGAAAGCATTTCCCTCCCCACTTTTCCTGGCCTCAAACCAGGGAAACCCGGAAAGGAAAGCCAGTCGTCAGAGCCCATACCACGGGCGACAACGAGCTTTGTGGTTTGGAGGACCGTTGAAGCGTGGGGCGTCTGGTGATGGTCGCTGACATTGGTGGAGCGGTCTCCAGGGCAAAGTTTGAAGGAGAGACACAGCAAGAAAGAGAGGCACCATGGAAGGAAAAGGGCGGCAGGCCTTGCGAAGTTGAGGGGCGTGTTCAAGCACTCGGTGCTAAACTTGTCGTCGTGAGGGGCTGGGTCCTCATCTTGCACGGGTCTACAAAAACTGGCCTGACGGCCAGTCACAAACCAAGAACGAGACAGGATGCCTGCATGTGTGTATGTGTGTGCGCAGGCGTGCGCGTGAGGCGGACGGATGTACAGACCACACCAGGTCCTGCTAGATCCGTTCTGACGTCCTGACGTGCACACGGTAGCGTTCTGATCGGAGTCGTTGATCGCTGCACGAGGCTGCGCTAGGCTTGGACTTGTGACTTGTGTTGGTTGAAGTGAGGTGGTACCTTCCTGTGTTCGTGTACATGCGGGTCGCCTTCTGCGCCTGGGCGGCGACAGCTCAAACAAGTCACCGAAGTCTCCGCAAGTCACTAAGCTAAGGAAGGCATGTCAACAGTGTCTCACAGTCACCTTATCCAAGAAGATACATGTAGGCAAGCTTGACAGCGCCCCAGCTAAAATGCCCTGGGCCCGGGACGCTGGAGCGTCCGAGCGTGAGCGCCGCAACCCTCAAGAGTTCCAGCAGGCTGGAAAAGCAAAGCAAGACCGTCTATAGTGCCTTATAGCAGCATTATAGCACACACACCTTTACAGTACCCTTATGACACCCTATAAACCCTCAACAAAAAAATAAAGACTCAACCCTCCTGTTCCTTGCCGAGTCTGCGGGTGGCAAGCCCAGGCACCATGCACCATCTTGGCCTCGAGAAGCTGCATTTGCTGCGGCTCGGCCTTGGCTTTGGCTTTAGGAGGACCCTCGATCGTACGTAGTACATGTAATCACAGTAGCAGAAATGGGCACTGCAGTAGTAGTAGGCCTAGTATGGCCTAGTGAACGCATACCAGAGCAGATTATGCAGAATGGTGTAATATGAAGTGCGTCGGACGGCCAGCCGAAGTCCGCAGGGTCTTCAGACTTTGGGATGGCTGAGACTCTTCTGAGGAGAGACATTTGGTCGAGGGGTTTGGGGTCGCGGCGTAGTAGCCCAGGCTCGCGTCCCAGATCTGGATCATTGCACCTGCTTTCATCGACATGTACATCGGATGGCGAGAAGGCAAAAGCTGCCGCAGACTTCGGACTCTGTCTTCTGTCGGGTCGGGTGCGAGGAGCCGACCCTTTGAGTGCTGAAGCTGCTGCATGCTCCTGCTTCTTGCAGTGCACAAGACCTCTCGGAGATGTAGATGCCTGCATCAGCTGGAGCTCCCCATCATCTGACTTGAAGATGCCTATGATGTCGTGAAAAAGGCTGTCTTTACTGTTTAAGTCTTTCACCGACAAGCTTGTGCAGGCCCCGGGTCGCCGCAGCCGTACCTTGATGCCACATGCCCATCGCAGTGCTTCTGCCCTTGGCAGGCGCCTTTCGTCGCACTACATAGGGCTCCAGCAAACCATGCAAATCTCAAGTTTCGATTCGATTGGGGGCGAGATATTCGACTTTTTGGCAGACTGCACTCACAATCTTTTCCCAGCTTTTTGCACTCATATCCAGGTGCCAAGTTCAGCAGCGGTAGGCATGCTTGGTACGCGAGATGTTGCCAGTGCTGGCAAGCGTGTTAAGCAGAACAAGTTTGGCAGAGATGGGCCGCTACCCTGTTTGCCGCTCAAAACGATGCTCGTTTGTCACTCATTGCAATCATACCTAAGCCTAAGCGTTCTGGCTATGCCACTGCAGCCGTGCTTTGCATCGGTACTGCGATGGGTCTGTTTTTTCAAGGCTAATTTTGGCTATGACGGCCATTGCGCTTTCCCGTATAGTAGCCCGTATAGTCATATAGAACCCGTAGGGCTTGAAGCAACCCTAGTGTTGCGCTCGCAGGCGATGCCTTGGGCCCAGACTGTGGCGCACTACACAGCCGGTTGGCGCCTTTCCTGGTAACCTGGGTAGGGATTTTGGCCGTGGAGGGTATTTCAGGTATTGGGTTGTTCATGTAGATGCATTTAGGGCCGGCTGTTCTGCATTGACAGTCTCTGGCGAACAGATGCAGCAAGAGCGTATTTTATCGAGGGAAAAGGGTCTAAGGGTTCTTCTCTTTCGCATGATTTCGGTTTCGGGCAGAACTGAAAAGCCTTCATCGTGAGTTTCCTGGACCAAGCGTAAGGCCTCGAGTAGCGAAGATCAGGACTCAACCCGTCCCCGTGCCCGTGACCATTCGTTGCGAAGCTGTTGCGGAATCCAAGGTGGGTGCAACCAAGCTCGCCAACGGCAAGCAGCATGGTGGGCCATGCTCTTTGGCATAGGGGATGGATTGACAGGATGCCGGCAAAATCAGAATTGCACAATTTCAGTTTAAGGAAAATTTCTAGAGGCTCCGCAACTCTGGGCCGACCGTGTCAACTCATGTGACTCAAAGCCCTTAGTCTAGTTTGTAGCCTCGTGGCTGCATTGTAGTCCCACTGAGGCACTCATCTTCATCCCATGCTACTGGATTGGGTTCTACAGTGGCGACAAAATTTTCAAGGTGCTCACCTTCATTGCAGACGACCAGTTGCTGGGCTGCGTGGTTTGAGTTCTCTGCCACAAGGCAGCCCCCATGCACAAGCGAAGGCCATTGAATACAGTAAGCGGCATGCAGGCAGCAGAGATTCTTGGTGGAAGGTCGAGATTTAGTTCAAGCTCGGGCCAACTAGCGAGGATTGCTCCAACCTGACCTCGACAGCCGTCGCCGCAAGTTAGGCGACATGCTTCGCAGTCCCTTTCTGGAAGCATCGGGCAAGAAAGCCCCCCCATCGCCCAAGAACCTGAACTTTTCATATTTTCATTCATGTCATGTACAGGCTTTGCTTTTGTCCAGAAGTCGTTGCATGAAGCTGTGAGGAACATCCTCCGCCGTTTGGTGGTTGCTGGAGTGGCCATGGGCGTGTATGCCATGATGTACTTGGGAGGACAGCCGATAATTCAAGGCAAGTCCCAGAAGCTTTCACGGGTAGAAATGAGGCCACTAGGATCTAGGAGTTGGAGGCTTGTTGAGCAGGGGCCTGTCAAACCTTCGAAGATGTACGCAAGTTTGTGCTCCCGGTTCAGATCCGATGGATTTCGTCTTGGGGCTCTGCTTCATGAAAAAGGGCCTTGCAGTGGCGGGACTCATGATGCCGCCGCACACAGCTCCCGATTGCATGTTGTGCACCTCCACCTCGTGAAGGTTTTGATGACACTTGCCAGAGCTTTTGGAGCATGGACGGTGCTTTCCTCTGGGGACAAGCAGCCTTGCATGCAGTAATGTTATGAGCGACCATGCATGCAGACACCTTCCATTATCTTCCATATCGTGATTCATGATGACACATGCAGTGGGACAGGATAGAAAGCGAACATCGGTAACGAGAGAAGATCGCTGTCAACGTAGACGACGTAGCCAACCTACGCAGTGTCGCCTGCACAAGCGGATCAGCTGGAATTCTGGAATATACATGCGCTTCGCAAGGTAAGCAAAAACTTGCTCTACTATGCCCTCAACCTCTTGATGTCCTTGCTCTTTGGCTGAGGGCGCGGGTGAGTAATTTAGCAGGGTTTACGCGCTCCTCGGCATTTTGCAGAGCGCTGACAACCGCTCAATAGCGAGGCCGCCTGTTGTTAAAGCTATAAGCATAAAAACACAATAAGGAGGACGGCAATGCATTAGCAACTCAATATGATGAACAAACTCAGAATATTATGGAGTAAAGATCCGACTACTGAGGGTCTGCATGGAAGATTCGTTGCTTTTTTCTGACACACTCTTGTAGCAGCAGACGCACGCCCTCGTTTGACAACTGCCTCGTCCAGTTGGCCATGAGAAGTCACACCAATGGGTCTCTTCTTTTGTGTTGCTGTTTGCCAAACGACTTTTAGAAGCGACCTGGCCCTTGAATCCCAGACCTCAAGTCTTCTGCCTGAAAACGGTCTTCACAGATTACTTGTGAAGATGTAGAGCACCTTACGCTCTCATTTGCTCCCTCTGTTCGCTTAGACCGCCGCCTGCTTCCCACGCACCTTCGTGTGAAACATGTAAAAATGTAGCAGGGGACTTGCGGCCAGGATGTGCGATTATGTCATAGAGGGGCAGAGAGTTGGGCAGATGAGTGGGGCCATGGAGGCTGTAGCCATTTGCCGTGTTTGCGAGAGCGAGAGGTGAGACGGCACTTCCCTCGCATGCCCAGGCTGTATGTCGTGGTGATTGCAGCCCTGGTGCCTTGCCACCTGCAGCTCGGCTCTCAAACCTCCAAGGGACCGCTGCATCGTCGATTTTCGCCTTCTTTCCTTTGCGGTGAACTTTCCTAGTCTCGAGTTCTCAACCGATATACTGAGCCGATCAAACCCAAACCCGGTTGAGAAGGAACCTGGCGTGTAAAGCGGGAGTTTCGATCTGCAGCCAGCCGAGGCAGTACTTAGCAAAAGTGTGTTTCGCTTCGCTGATTGTGTCTGAGCTGCAATTCAGCTGTTTCAGGTAAGAGGTTCTTCCCGGCCCTTTGTGAATTGCATCTGCATCGTTCAGGGGCCGACTGATGCCCTAAGCCCAACCCCCTCTGAACCCTAGACCCTTAAAACGTTTTGGTGTGGTGATACGTGCCATGCCTGAGTCAATGAGCTCTAGCCCCGACCAGTGAACCCTCGCCTAGGCAAGTCCGAGTGTGAGTGCTGAAACCCTTAAAGCTTAAAGCCCTCGCCAAATCCTGGGCCTGGGATCCCCCCGACCCGTGTCAGAGAAATTACCTATCATCATTATCATTAGCACTATGGCATCATGATTATTTTGTTATTAGTACCATAGTTGTATCATTATCATCAGTATTCTGAGTCTGCTGGTTTTGGAGCTTCCGCAGTTGGAGAGAGTTCAGGGGTCAGATGAGGTCTCCGGTCTGATTCCACAGCCTCTTGACACGCCGAGCCAGATCGTTGCGTTGCGGGAGACAGCAGCCTGGCTTTTGGACAACTGTTGTGATTATGATTGACATTGTCATGATGCTTATCGTTAGCGTGATTATTGTTGCTATTGTTATTATGATTCTTTGTTGTGGTTTTAAGTAGCGCTAAGAAATATCGCTACGGTTTTGTGATCATGACCATTGTCAGTATTGTTCATATATGACCTAGAAAGGGGGTCTTGAACTATTAATCCAGAGGGCTGTACAAAAAGTTTCGGAGACTGATGACCTTCGTGTTTCGATCAAGGTGAATGAGAACTGGATTGGCGTGGTGGAGCTCTTTTGGATGTTCTACGTTCCATTCCTTTTCGAGTTTGTCGTGGGCGCGATCGTCACAACACTCCTTCCCATCGTCATCAATTGCGGAATTGCTGCATGGAAGCGCTTGCAAAAGTGATGTGATGCCTGAGACACGTTGTTTCAGAGCCGCGGTGCCGCAATTAGTGGCTGCGGGCTTTTGGCATGCTGGATGGTAGACAGGTAGCCGAATACGGATATGCATACTAGGAGTGTATGTATTAGGCCCAAAAGGAATCAGAATATGTCGAAGCTTTCAGCTTGTCTTGAGCCTGAGACGGCTTTGCACGACTTCACGGCATGTTCCGTCCCCCCTAGACACAAGGCATGAACTTTTGAGATCACTTGGGAGGCCAAGTCTGCAACAAGCCACATCCCAGATCCACAAAAGGAGATCCATTCTCGATGCATAGGTGCGAAGGAAGATTAAGTATCCAAGTGCTGTGTTGAATCGACGACCAAGTCATGGACAAGATTGGCGTTGCAGCGGCTCCCTTCCATTTTCAGGCCTGCAAAGGGGCACACCTTTTGCAGCGCAAGCACTGGCTGTTCCTGGCTTTGAATCGTGAGCATTCTGCCCCATGGCCAAAACCATGATTCACAGCATATTAGACTTGAGACGATCTTCAAGGATCTGAAAAGCGCAGAAAAGAGCTTTGCCAGCAATGCGCACAAGGATGGCATCGGTGCTGGTCAGGAGAAGGTATCCCCAGTAAGATCTACAGGCATGGAAGCCTTTTGATATGTGGCACGCATGTTGTGACAAGTCACGGTTCGCTGTTCTTTGCGGGTCAAGCCGATCTTCCCCTGACGAGAGGGGCGTGCCCGAATCCTCCAAGCCCGCCAGAACAAGCCAAAGCTTGGGGGGACATTGCATAGAAGCATATCCAACTCCTAAACTGTGAAGGTAAATGGATGATCGCCAGCACTATCCCCCATAACTGCTACAGAACACACGGGACAAAGATTCCACAAGCAGCTTCAGAAGCTGCCACGTGGCTGTGACTGGGCTGACTTCTATGAACACACAAGTACCACGAGAAGAAGGTTCCGGGGGTGGAGGGTTTAAGGTTGATGAGTGGTTCATCCAACCCTGACGTGCCAATTGCAGATACTCCGCGTTGCATGTTCATGTGTCCGAAACTCTGTAGGCACGACCACCGAAACTTGATCAAACTCGACAAGCCCAGAAATCCAAAAAAAGTGCGGGAGGTGACCTGCCTCCGGTTCTAACCGAGAGAACGGCAGCAAGTTTGCAAGACCAGCCGAAGACATTGCAAGGCACAAGCCCCAAAACCTATGCCCGGAGCCCTGGGTCCAAAACCGGACGGCTCTAACCTCCTTCCGAAAAGGCATAAAGCATAAAGCCTCAACCCGCCCGTGCTGAACCTTGTCAAATTAGTGTCGCATCCGTGTTCTAACTAGGCCTCCTGTAATTAATCGGGTCTGGTTGGTTTGGGGCGAGGTGGCTGGACAGGGGGTCACGCAAACAATAGCTGGCCCACTGCAATCTCCACGCTCTTTGTCCCTACTTAGGAGGTTTATCCCTGTCAGATGGGTGATTAAGGGGGGGCTGTGCCTAGTTGCTCATACGATGTAACGCTCTCGAGCTGACACGTGCGCGGGGAATCCTGGCCCGGATTAACCAAGCAGCGAGAGTCGAAACCCAAGGTGATGCGCCAGGTGCTGGTGACAATCCAGGCCGACGCCATCAATGGAAAGCAGCGACCTCGACCTTGGAGCCTAGGTTTTTGGGGCTTACTATGGGCTGAGGGTTCCGAGTTGTGAGAGCGTGAAGAGCGAATTCACTTGTGATGGATGCCGCCCTCCCTAAGCCCTCTACCCTTCTTGCCGCATCCCCAGTCGCAGAACCGTTTCTGTAAGGAGATTCCGGTTTCGGAGTTGTGTTTTCGTTGGAGCTGTTGGTGAGCCGCTTGCCATCCTTCAATCCTTTAGGTAGCTGGCACTGCTTCAGTCTTGTAGTGGGGTCTCTCCTACTTTGACGACTGTCTCTGGAAATGTTTGGTGTGGTCGTGCTTGGGTTTTAGGATACTTTGTGCCTTCTGGGAGCTTGCCAGTGGGCTGCACTACTTTGAGACAGCTCTGGCTGACGTGTGTAATGGTCCCTGTGGCTTTGTTCACGGTCTTGGGGAGGGTGGAGGTTTTTCTGTGTTCTGGTGTGTTTGGGTGGGGTTTGGGTTGATCATGTTCTGGAGCAAGACGACTGTGTGTCTGTCGTCTTGCTTCGAATTTGTGACGATCCTTCCCTGCCTTGTAGAAAGCGGCTTGCAAGAGCAAAAACCAGAGAAAGCTGTCACCTTCGTCCTTGCAAGGAGGAAGGGTTTACGCAGGAAGGTTCTCCGAGTGTGAGCCCAAAAAACCTCTCGCTCCCAGGCCCTGGCTCACTTGAGCGCCCCAACCGACAGCCCGTATACGATCGTAAGCCAAGTTTTGGTTTCAAGGGTCAACGATCAAAAGTGTTTATATGGATGTCTGAGAAAATATCGCAGGGATGCCACATGATGGAGGCCACATGCCTCGCCTGGATTGTCTGAGTGTGAGCGCCGAAACCAGCGCTGACGCCCTAAACCCTGTGCGCCACCACTTCAAAACACACCCGGCAAAAAGCAAAAGGCGATCCACCTCCAGCCCAAACTCTTAGCCATGAGTCCAAAAACCACACTCGTAGTCTTTTTCCAGCCCAAATCTTTGCAAGAACCTTTAAACTAATTGGGAAGGTTCCCCAAGTTTTCGTGGGTCACCAATGAACGACGACAGGATCCCTTAGTTAAGGGGTGTCTGAGTCCAATGTGACCGAAAATCCTTCAAAGGAGGTGCCTAAGCCTTAGTCAAGGTGCCACCGAAAACCTGACCCTGAACCCTGGAACAAAGGCGCTACCGATGGCGCGACGAGGTTTCTATCGACTCTTCGGCTTCATCCTTGAAAGCGAAGTGGGCGGAGGCGCATCGCGGCTTCCTGGATTTTGGAGTATTTAGGGTTTTCGAAGGGCGTCAGTATTTCCTAAACCCCTAGCGCCGGGCTTTTTGGGGCTGAGCGGTAAGGTGCAGGGGCTTCAGGAATCCAGTGTGGAGAAATCCTCCTGTGGTGGCTTGGGGCGCCGTCTGAAAGCTCGGATCCCCACAGAACACCTTTCACTCATGTCAGGATACTTTCTCACTGACTCCGTGGCCAAACAGCTTTAACACCGGAAGCTACCCCGAGAAATCTCGTTGTATTTGTTGGCCTGGTTTAGGGATCCATGTGTCCTTCCCGGTGCCAGCGCGCAGGCGACCGGAGTGCCGGAGAAGGCTGCGGGAGGGGGGGGTGGGGTCTGGGAGCTTCTGCCTTTAGTCTGTCATTCTTTGTCATAATATCGGATTGGACATGGTACCAAACAGATCTGCCAGATGGTCGAATTCTTCGACGCCGTGACTGAACTGCCCGTCAAGTTGGACCTGACGCAGCTCGCCCGCATATGAGTTGATCTGGTTGTCACAGTCACGGCATGGAGGTTCCGAAACATTCAGAACAACCAAGTAGATAAGCTAAAGTCGAAATAGCCGGAGCCTTTATGTAAGGAGCCCGAACCCCAGATTCTCTGTCAAGGCCCAGCCAGCTGGGATGGGCGGAGGCAGTCACTCTGCGACTCGGCTACGCCATCAGTGTGTAGGCGACCCTAAGCCACCTGCACAACCCTGGCGCCCTAAACCCTTCAAACCCGAATGACCTGGGGCCACATGTGCCTCCCCTTCGCGCCGGGACAAGCCTCGAATGCATCGTAATCCAAATCACTGGGGGTGTCTTGCATCGATGGACCATTTGTTCCCACAAAGGCTAGCCGTGCCAGCCGATGATGAAGGGGCTGCCTCACCACCAGGCCATCAGCTACTGAGTCTCCCTCTCCGCAAACATGGGGGTGTCATGGGTTTCAGGTTTAGGGCGTACAGTAGAGTATGGGGTTTGGGGCCCAGGCTGTATTTGGGACCTCTCCGATTAGTCTGAGGTAGAAGGTCAGGTCAGGTCAAAATATCTGGACAAGCGTAGCCTCTCAGAGCGCCTTGCACGCATGTGCCAAGCAAGACCTTGCGCAACCTTTGCATTGTGAGACTATAACGACGATGAGCTTGCCTTGGCAGTTTCACCAGGCATCTTAAAGCCTCTAGAAACCATCGAGCAAATTGTTTTGAAGAGCAAGACTCAAAAGTGGTATCTTAAAATTACAAGGACTCAGCGTCTCCAGCCACGAGCATGTTTTAGACTCTTGCAAAACCTCCAGCCAGCCCTGCAAGATGCGCAGACGCTCGGTCGGAAGAGGAGGCGGACAGAGGCAGGGAAACAGGTAATGTTGTATTATCTTACAATATCGTACATAACATCATATGACATGTATATGTATACATCCATATCTGTATGTAACTTTTGTCCTGCTATGCTTGCTGTATCATATCACATAACATCATAAATTCAGTGGTTCATCACTCCAAGGCTCTTTCTTTGCGACCTGTGCTTACTTGTTTGCTTACTTGTTTTCTGTCGGCCTCTGCCACAGGTTGCTTCAATGTGACAGAACTTCATCTCACGTGGATGGACAAGGGAGGAAGGAAAGAGACTCGAACTTGCCATCTGCGCCCTTGAAGCTGAAAGATGAAGGATTTGCGGAAAATTGCTGAGAGAGCCAAGACGAGCTGAGAATCCGGGGATCGAGAGCGGGCCTGGCCCGCCTCCTCCATCTCTGAATCGAGTCACCCAAACATTGTTGCACTCATTCGGAGAGCAAGAGCCTCAAAGCCTTCGTGCAGTGTTGGGCTTGTTTGACGTTCCGTTGTGTGGTCCTCCTACTCGGAAGTGGCTGGAGTGAGTGAGATCCATTCTGCGGAGTGTAGGACTGCTTGTTTTGGAGTTGCCGTCACCCTCAGACTTGTGCAGGCCAGAGGAGAACCCTTGGCGGCACACACGAAGGCCGGCACAAAGCGTCTAGCAGTCTAGCAAAAAAAGAGAGCAGTGTGCTGCTTTCTCTTCCAGGACCCGCCTGCTGCGCGGCCAGCTGTTGCAGAGCCTGCGGCCCCAAAACCAGCTCCTGCTACGAGTGCGGCGGCAAGAGTTGCCCCGAAGTCGAAGCCGGCAGAGGCGCCAGCAAAGGCAGGCAGCGCCAAGCCGGCGCCAAAGCCCAGCCCAGGCCCAGCGCCGCCCAACCCCAAGGCTAAAGGGCCGCCCGCTAGTGCAAAGGCAGCTCCCGGCCCTGCGAAGCTTGGACGAACTGAGCTTTGCAAGCTTTTTTGGGTCTTTGGGGATGCTAAGATCCTGAAATCATCGCAAAAGGTTAGCCTTTAGTGCCACCACCCGGAAGAGGCAACAGATGCACAGGTTGTATGGTGTAAACCCTTGATTGCGATATGCCACCTGTTGCAAGATCGCTACTGACCGTTATTGTTCTCTAGACTCAACCCTGCAATGCGGGCTCGTCCTAGCTAGGTGGGAGTCAAAAAAAAGAACCATACGCCCAAAAATCCCAAGCCCAGCACCCCCAAAACCCCGAAAGGAGACTGGACGACTTAGGAAAGCTGGAGCCCCGGGAGGGCCAAAGTCGAAGCAGGAAGATGATGCCACAAAGCTCGTGGAGCCTCGGCAAAGCTTCAGAATCGGGTCTTGCTGTACTCGTATATCATAAGACACACACACACACTCACTCATAAACAAGTGTGTGTGTGTGTGTATGCATGCATATATATATATGTTCTATATTTCTCACTATACCTACATGCATGCTTGCATGGATACATATACTTACATACATACATACATACATACATACATACATATTTATATATATATACACATGCACACATAAACACATATGCACGTATATGCATACACATACTTACATATAGAGATAGAGCTTCTTATGCAGTAACACCACGAATACCCTGCAAAGCTGGGCCGTGAACCCGATAAGACCTTACTACAGCCTTTACAGGAACGCCCCTTGACGGTTTAGGTTTCAGCGTTAAAGAACTGTAAAACCCAAGCCCCCAAGAACATAGACTTTCCCTGAGTCGGCCTCAGGATCTTCTTGGCAGTCTTCCGGGGCAGGACGAACCCATCAAGTACGTGGGGGGCCTACTGCGATTTTGGGTTTGGGTAGGCTTTCAGGGTTTGTTGCAAGATTTTTTGCTGTCCTAAGCCGGACAGCCGACAGCCCTTCCAGGGATGTGGTGCCTGTTCTTGTTTCCCGGTAGTGGAAGTTCTTGCCACAGCTGCAGGCAGAGAACCCGAAGAGGCCTGGAGCTATGCTCGCTGCGAAAGCTGTCAGGACTAACATCGAAGCCTGCATGACCCATCTTCTTCCGCAGGGCCCGATTGACACCATTCCATAACAGATTTGTCGTTATGTCTGGCAGGCAGCTGAACAGGGCTCTGGGGTTCTTTAGCCCGAACACTTTCAAAGCATTGTGGGATGCCCTAACCCTTCCTTCAAACCCTATACCCGACAGAGGGCAGTCATAATGGGCATCATAGTGGAAAAGGGTGCCTAAGAGAAAGGCCAGATAAAATGTTGCAGAATGTCTCCGGAGAGTCCATGTGGGCATATTTTGTTGCAAACTTGTTCATTTGTTTGGTCAAGACCCTCTGATTATGAGGGCACTTTTTATATTATCATATGTTCGAACGGGGGGTTGCTTCATTCAGTGAGTCCTGTGCGCCATGTTGGGGAAAAGTAGGTATCTTACACTCGAAACCCTAAGCCAACACCCTGTTCACGCCGTTTCGGGGAATAAAGGGTATCACATACCCTGACCTCTCAACCCTAAGCCCAGAGCCCTACTAACTCCAACGGAACCTTACAAAAAAGCCTACCGATTCAGCGAGCCCTGCAGCCGCTGTGGACAGGCCTGGCACGTCTGCACATGCACGCTACGAGACACTTGGTCGCCTCAATGCTCGTGCAAGCTCGAGGGTTTATAGATTTGTTGGTTTTTCGTGGTCCTTGTCTGTGTTTTGGAATGTTGTGGATGAAACGCTTTGGGTGGTCGCTGTGAGGATTTGGGGGTTTTGAGTGGTTTAGCGGTTCAGGGTTGAGGTTTTCCTGACATCGCACCCCTTGGGGATAGTACAAATCAAGGTTTTTCATTTTGCTTATCTCAGGAAGTACAAGCACGCGAAGACGATCGCAGAAGCTCTGAAATGCGGCGCTGCAAAAGGCGACATTGATCACGACTTCAAGCCGCTGAGGTTCAACATGTCAGTTTATGTTGGGTTAAAAGTGTTTAGGACTTTTGGCTTTAGGGTTTATTTCGGTTCTACCCAACCCGAGCTTGGTTGTATGCATCACGCTGTGTGGATTTTAAGTGCTATGACTCTAGTGTTTTGGCTGCCTATGGCCACTATTATTCTTATTATTTTCTTTGCTGCTACTAACACTACTATTGCTGCTTCGTAAAAAACCGAGGTCGCACCCGGTCGCACTGACATGTGCCTTCCATAACAGGTGATGGGTGCGACTGGGTGCGACCTCCTAAAACAACGAGGCCCGGTCGCACCCATGTACGCTTTCCGTAACAAATCATGGGTGGAACCGGGTGCGACCTCGTGAAAAACGAGGCCCCACCCGATTGCACCCACGTACGCTTTCCATAACACATGATGGGTGCGACCTCGTAGAAACGAGGTCGCGGAGGCTGCACCCAAGTACGCCTCCCATAACAGACGAGGTCGCACCCGGTTGCACCCACGTACGCCGTACATAACAAAGGATGGGTGTGATGGGTGCGACCGAGTGCGAACTCGTAAAATGCACGCCTTCCATAATATATGTATCTCTGTGTTGTAGGCATTGTGAACTGTAAACACGCTTTAGGTTTGCAACGCAAACATCCGCCTCGAAAATTCTGTATCTTTGTATTGCAGGCGCAGTGAACCTTAGGGACACCATAAGTTTCTAGTGCGAACATCCAAGTTAAAAAATTTCTGCATCTTTGTATCGCATGCGTCTGAACTTCAGGAGCACTGCAATTTGTAACGGAGCGCCCACCTGAAATTTCTGTATCTTTGTATTGCAGGCGTTGTGAACTTTACAGACACGACTTTGTAATGCGAACGTTCACCCTGAAGTGTCTGTATCTTCGTACTATAGGCGTTGCTAACTTTACAGAGACTTCCAGTCGAACATCCACTCTGAAATTTTTATGTCTTTGTATTGTAGGAGTTGTGAAGTTTCAATCAGGACACCATAAGTTTGTTACGCGAGCGTCCACCTTATAATTCTGTATCGTTGTATGCATTGTATAGGTGTTGTGAACTTTAGGCAAACTATCAGTTTGTAACGCCAACGTCCACCCTGAAATGTCTGTACCTTTGTATTGTAGGCACCGTGGCTTTTCAGCACACTATAAGTTTGTAACGCGAACATCCAAATTGAAATTCCTGCATCTTGTATTGTACGCGTCTGAACTTCAAGGACACTACAAACTTGTACCGCAAACGTCACTCTGAAGTTTGCGCATCTTCGTATTGTAAGCGTTGTGAACTTTCAATACACTACAAGTTTGCAAGGGGAACGTCTACCTTATTTGTTCTGTATCTTTGTAAATGCTCACCTGCTTTCATTATCTTTGTAGGCGGTGTGAACTTTAAGGACACGAAAAGTTCGTGAGGCTAACGTCTACCATATTACGTCTGTATCTTTGTAAACATCCGTCCACCTTGTTTCCCTATCTTTGTATCGTAGGCGTTGTGAACTTCAAGGATGCCACAAGTTCGTAACGCGAACGTCCACCCTGAAATTTCTGTATCTTGGTATTGCACGTAGGCGTTGTGAACTTTATGGACACTAAGGTCCACCCTGAAATTTCTGTATCTCTGTACTGCGGCGTTGACATTATGAATTTATAACTCGAATGTCCACCCTGAAATTTCTGTACCTCTGCATTGTGGCGTTTTGGTACTTTAAGGACACTACCAGCGCGTAACGCGAAGGTCCGCCCAGGAAGCTTCTGTCTAATTATTAGTATTGTAGGCGTTGTGAACTTTACGGACATTACCTGTTTGTTACGCGAACGTCCACCCTGAGATTTCTGTATCTTCTTTTCGCAGACCTTGTGAATTTCAAGGACACCAAAAGTTTGTAATGCAAACGTTCACTCTTCAATTTCTGTATCCTTGTATTGTAGGCGTTGCGAACTTGAAGGACACTAAGAGTGTGCGACGCGAACGTCCACCCTGACATTTCTCTATCTTGGTATTGTAGGCATTGTGAACTGTAAGCACACTTTCAGTTTGCAATGCAAACATCCACCTCGAAATTCTGTATCTTTGTATGGTAATTGTTTTGGACTCTGAAAGACACTACCAGTTTGTAACGCGAACATCCAAATTGAAAGTTCTGCATCTTTGTATGGTAGACGTTGTGCACTTTAAAGACACTACAAATGTGTAACCCGAATATCCATCTGAAATTTGTCTATCTTTGCGCTGTAGGCATTGTGAACTTCAAACGCTACAAGTTTCTATTGCGAACGTTCATCCTGAAATTTCTGTCTGTTCTTATTGTAGGCGTTGCGAACTCCTAAAGACACTACAAGTTTATAATGCGAACGTCCACCCTGAAACTTCTATCTATATATTTGTATTCTCGGCGTTGTGAACTTCAAGGACACCACAAGTTTGTAACACGAACGTCCACCCAGGAAATTTCTGCATGTTTGGAATGCAGGTGTTGTGAACTTTACGCAGCACTATCAGTTTGTAATGCGAACCTCCACCCTGAAATTTCTGTATCTTTGTCTTGTAGGCGCTGTGAACTTCAAGCACACGCGAACGTCCACCCTGAAAGTTCTTTACCTTTGTACTGTGGCGTTGTGATGTTTTATGGACTCTCCATGCATTTCGCGTTGTAGGCGTTGTGAACTTCACAAACACGACAAGTCTGTAAGGAGAACGTCCATTGGAAATTTCTTTCTCATTGTATTGTAAGTGTTGTGAAACATAAGGACGCTACGAGTTTGTAACGCGAACGAGGACACTACAAGTTTGTATTCCGAGCATCTGCTTTTTTCCTATATCTTTGTGTAAACGGCCACCTTATTTCGGTATATTTGTAGTGCAGGCGTTGTGATTTTCAAGGACACAATAAGTTTGTAAAGCGAACGTCCATCCTGAAATTTCTGTATCTTCGTATTGTAGGCGTTGTGCACTTCAACCACACCACACTGTATGTTTGTAAAGCGAACATCAACATGGAAATTTCTGCATCTTTGTATTGTAGGCGTTGTGAACTTTAAAGACACTACAAGTGTGTAATGCGAACGTCCACCCTACAATTTCTGTATCTTTGTATTGTAAGTGATGTGAACTTCGAGGACACTACAAGTTTGTCTTGCGAACGTTCACCCTGAAGTTTATCTATCTCTGTCTTGTAGACGTTGTGAATGTTGAAAACACTACAAATTTGTAATGCGAACGTTCGCCCTGAAGTTTCTGCATCTTTGTATTGCAGCGTTGCAAATTTGAAGGACACTACTTGTTTGTCACGCGAACGTCTACCTTGAAATTTCTGTATCTTTGCATTGTAGGCGTTGTGAGCTTTACGGACACCTTAAGTTTGTAAGGCCAACGCCCACCCTGAAACTTCTATATCTATGCAAAAGTTGTGGTGTTGTGAACTTTGAGGACAATACAAATTAAGTTTGTAACGCGAATGTCCACCCTGAAAATTCTGAATCTTTGTGTTTGTATTTTGTATTGTTTGCGTTGTGAATTTTGAGGACACTACACTATATGTGTAACGCGAACTCCACCCTGAAGTTTCTGCATTTTCGTATTGTAGTCGTGGTGCAAGTCAACCACACGACACTGTAGGTTTGTAAGGCGAACATCCACATGGAAATTTCTGCAGTTTTGTATTGCAGGCGTTGTGAACCTCTAAAGCACTACAAGTTTGTAACGCGCGAACGTCCACCCTGAAGTTTTTGTATCTTTGTGTTGTAGGCGTTGTGAATTTTAAGGAAACCATAAGTTTGTAACGCGAACGTCTACCTTATTTCCGTTGTGTTTCGTAAGCGTCCACCTTATTTCTCTATCTTTGTATTGTAGGCGTTGCAAACTAGACACCACAAGTATGTAACGCGAACGTCCACCCTGCAATTTCTGTATCTTTCTATTGTGGCCGTTGTGCACTTTAGGGACACTACATTTTTAAGTTTGCAAACATCCACCCTGAAGTTTCCGTATCTTTGTATTTGTTTGTTTGCATTGTGAACTTTGGTTTAAGGCGAACGTCCGCACTGACTTTTCTGTATCTTTGTATTGAGGGCGTTGCGACCCTTGAGGACATTATAAGTTTGTAACCCGAACGTCCACCCTGAAAGTTCTGTATCTCTGTTTTTTGTAGGCATTGTGATATTTAAAGACACTACAAGTTTGTACCGCGAACGTCCACCCTGAAATTTCTGTATCTTTGTCTTGTAGGCGTTGTGAACTAATCACACTAACGGTTATAGCAGTTGTTGTTGTTGTTCTTGTCGTTGTGGTTGCTTTTGTTGTGGTGGTTGTAGTAGTAGTAGTTGTTGTTGTTGTAGTTGATGTTGTTGTCGTTGTCGTCGTTGTTGCGCATGCATGCAGGCATGTATATCTCACATACATATTTGTAGAAGCGCAATGCGTGGAATACTCTTCGAGTGGTGGGGCCTTCAAAATGCTGTTTTCGAGTACAAATGCCTACGCAACGCCCTTCGAGTGGTGGGGCCTCCAAAATGCTGTTTTCGAGTACAGACGCAGTACGCGCAACACTCTTCGAGTGGTGGGGCCTCCAAAATGTTGTTTTCGAGTACAAACGCAGTACGCGGAACACTCTTCGAGTGGTGGGGCCTCCAAAATGTTGATTTCGAGTACAAACGCAATACGTGGAACACTCTTCGAGTGGTGGGACCGCCAAAATGCTTTTTTCCCAGACCCCCAAACTCGCCGCGAGAAGCGGGGTGCGACCTCGTGAAAACAAAAAGTGAGTCGAACCCTGTCGCACCACCCTTGACTTCCATAACAAATGATGACTTGGGGGGTTCTGCCGTGTTGCACGATGGATCGTTCCTGTTGGGCTTTATGTGCTCTGCCCGATTTGGCCATCCTCATCGAGCGTCATTGGGTTTTTAGTGGAATTCTTCCATAACAAATGATGGGTACGACCAAGTAGACAACGAGATCGCACCCACGCTTGCCTTCCATAGCTTATTGTTGTCTTGCTGTTGCTGCTATTGTTGTTGTTGCTGCTGTTGTTGTTGCAGTTGTGGCTGCTGTTACTGTTGCGTTGCTGGAGCTGTGACTGTTGCTGTTGCTGTGGTTGTTGTTGTTTTTGTTGTCGTTGTCGTTGTCGTTGTTGTTATTGTTGTTGCTGTTGCTGTTGTCGTCGTTGTTGTTGTTGTTGTGGTTGTCGTTGTTGTTGTGGTTGTTGTTGTTCTTATCGTTGCTGTTGTCGTTGTCATTGTCGTCGTTGTCGTCATTTTTGTGCATGCACGCAAGCATGTATACCTCCCCATACATGTATCTTTTGCTCGTCAATCGTTTTCGGCACACCCGGGCTCTGGTTAGTATTACTAGCGTTACGAATTTTACTATCGTTACTATTTTTGTTATTGTTATTAGCATGACTCATGTTGTTGCTATTGTTCATTATGACTGCGATTAGTGCGAGTAGTTCCTCACGGCCCAGGAACGGCTTCCTTCGCAGGGCCTAGCTGCGGCTCAACACATGGGCCTGAAGGGCGCTTTGGAAAAAAGGTGTCCGATTATGTCTTGACTCCCAATGCAAATCTCTGTGAAAGCTCGACGTCTCATCTCGGGTAGGTCTGTCGCTACTTGCACTGAGATTTCAGCTAGAAATATTCAGACTTTCCGTCTCTTGGCACTTGATCTTGCAACACAGCTTTAGCATTGCATGCTTCGGGCGGTCAAGTCTACAAGGCATCTATCGGCTTAAGCTATCTTGCGTGAGTATGCTGTTTGCTGACTCTTCACTGGTCACCGAAGCTTGCAACAGCTGGTGTAGAATAACCCTGCAGCTCAACATGCCAAGCCCACCCGACCTTACATACCGCATGCCTAAAGCAAACACCCCAAATTCTACGGATTCAACAAGCCTGCTTCAAAGCCATTGGCTGCATGATGTGAGAGTCGCACCCGTATCTGAGGAGGCTGGGCCGTGCATAAGCATCACAGTGACTTATTTGCTCTCCACATATGCGTAGTACGCATATCTACTTAGAGCTGTTTACTGATTTAGCTAGCTGTGTGTGTGTACACACTGTACACACGCATGCATGTGAGCATCTGTTCCTTCTTATATGTGCGCCAGCCAACGTGTATGCTTGTGCACTTGAATCCTGTGGCATTGTTTGATGCTGAGCAGCCTTAAGCTAAATCCGAAACCCTATACACGTTAGCTCCAAGTTCCTGGGTTACACTTGTTTGGACTCCTTGCCGGCGATTTCCTTCGCCCTAGCAGGATACACAGCTTCCCGTGAAGGGTTCTTGTGTGTTTGCTGAAGCTTTCTTTAGAAAAGCTTTTCATAACGGGAGCCCGCACGCAAGACTTGCTTGCAAAAAATTCTCCGCAGATGCAGTCGACCTTGTGTCCGTCCGGAGGATGGCATCGCCGACGGATTCCATCACTGACCAGGCAGAGATCTGCAAGCTTTGATGGGCCGTTTTGAACGACTTACAGGGTTGTATGGGGTTCTTGCAGGGCATCATGGGGCGTTGTTATTGGCTTCTTAAGGTGTTGAAAGTCTGGCAGCCTGAGAAGGCCACCCGGAACTCAGAATGCCAGTTTCCGAATTGAACCACTCCGAAGTATCCCGAATCCCGTCCAGCTGGCATGAAGCAATGCACCATGAAGTCCTGAAGCTGCTTCCCCGAGTCTGCCGGGTACCTCAAGTGCCCCTAGACCCTAAGCCCTATATCGTGGTTTCCGCTGGGCGGGTGGGAAAGAATGTCGTGGCTTAACTCCTGAATTGATTCCTAGAGGCGCGTAGTGACTTCTGTTGAAACAGCTGAGCAACGACTTAAGCAAGTAAGTCTTGAAGTGATGAGGGTGACGGCAATGTTTGCGGCTTTTTACTTTAGTGCCTCTGTGTTCTGCCTGTCTTGCGGTCACACTCAGCAGCAGAGATCGAACTATGTGGACCTTTGCCTGCCTTGTCATTGTGCGAGTGTGAGAGTCGAAACCCTAAACCCGAGACCCTCAACCAGAAGCTTGCGAAGCTGATTCCAAAGAGCTCCGGCTGAAAGCAGAAGGCCGAGACGCCCAAGCACGAATCCAACACTTTGAACCCTCAACATACATGGTGGTTCATCAAACTTTTAGGGGGGTCCTTTTTATAAGGGTGCCGTACTGTTTTGGGGAGCTGAAAAGTGTACCCTAATTGAGAGAATTACCCACAGATCAAGAAGTGTACCGAGCAAAAGCCCCTAGACTTCCACACAAAGCCGCGACCCTCTAAGGTGTTCAGGCAGACTAGCCTGTATGCTCTCGATCCGGATTTTCGGGCGGGGCCAGCAAAAGGAAACTCCCTGGAGGCCTGAGGAAACGAGACCTGCAGCTTGCTGGGAGTTCGGGGCCCCCCTTCCGGTTTCACGTCTCGTACTGGCCAAGAGGTATCAGGTAGTAGTAACTCAGTAGTTGTCGTCCTCCTCGTAACCCGTGGTAGCAGTGGTTTTGGCAGTGCCACTGGTACTTAGTGGTTCTTGTCGTGACCTATCAGTGACATGTTCTTGTGTGTTCGCCAGATCTTCGATTGTCCCGTACTGCCCTAATCCACAGCCCTGGCAGCGACATGTTCTTTTGCGTTCGCTCTTTCCTCGGTTGTGCTTGTGAGCAGCATCCCGGCCCATAGAACTTGTTGCTGTCGTGTCCGAAGCTGCACTTCTGGCGGTGTTGCCTTCTTGAGTTGCCTTGTCGGCAGACCCTGCCTGGCTTGGTCCGATTCTGATTATCAAACACTCTAACAGACTCGTAGAAACTGCATTGTAGATCCTCGTTTGATGCTTGTTGTAGAAGTCTTCTTATTGCTGTTATTACCATTACTCTCAATATGTCTATGGTGCTATTTTTGGATGCCACCTGCAGGGTCCCAAGATCATCTGCGTGGGGCTGGTGAAAACCGGCCTCCAGTCTCTGCGGGAAGCCCTGCACAAGCTAGGTGGCCTGGAGAAGAAACCAAGCGGTTGGGGCTTGGGGTCGAGAACATGGAAACTTTCAGATTTCTCACCAAACTCCCCAACTTCCCGAAGTTGCTCAGCTTTGTCTCCCGCTGCGAGTAGGGCTGAAGCGTCGGGTTGGAAGCACACGGGTGATGATGATGATAATGATGAGGAGGGAAGGCTTTAATTGTCAGCAGAGTAGTAGCTGAGTACAGTTACATATAACACCCAAGAAGCTGACTTTAATGATACGCTCTTGGACAGCTTTTCGGTGCAGAAGTGCGGCGCTTCTCTGGGAAGATTTGAAGGAACAAGGACTCGGAGTCAATACAAAGCTTTGGGCTTCGGGTTGAGGCTTTGCAGAAAAGGACACTGCATTCTTGCAAGCTTAAAGCCGCAGCTGGTAGCAAGCGTATGCTCAGCTTCGTTGAGGCTATGAGCACTTCTTCGACCAGGATCAGCGCCTTGGTCATCACCACCGAGCTGTCGGGTCTTCAGGTATCGACCAACAACAGATTTGCAAGCTCAACAGCTCACCCTGACCCGTGTGTATTCGCAAGATTTTGTGCTTGTCTACTGGTTTGGCATTCGTTTCCAAGGGAATTGGGGACGTAAGCGTTCTTGAGCAAGGATCGTCTCCACCTATCCCTTGTGGGACATGCTGGTGAAGGGCGGCGCGGAGCGCTCCAAGGTGAACGCACGGATCCAGAGGACCTTGCATGGAATGTAGGGAGCTATCGGCAGCTTTGTCTTAAACCCTATGGCTTTCGGGCGTTTGGGCTTGGGCACAAGTCCTGGAGAGTTTGGAAATATGGGGATGTCGAGTTGCGCAGATGAACTGAGATCTCCATGTGAAGCTCTGGTGACATGCGGCGATGCAAGTTGGCGTGTTCGAGGACTTTGGGCCACTACGAGGTTATCATGGGCTTGCCTGCTGCCTGCTTTTGGGAGGACCCAGCACAGCAGGTCTGAGTTTCCAAGTGTTTTCGAGGCTCTTTGTAGGTGCAGCGGCTGGCATGTTTTTACTCCTTGTGAGCTGAAGCTGAGCGCAAGACCAACAGTGTCTACCTCGCCGTATGCTTCGTTTTGCGAGTCTTTTTCGAGTCTGGATTCGTCTCCCCAATAGAAGTCTTACAGAATCCAAAGCTAATGGAACTCCGTCCTTACGTCCCGTCTACGCTGAATGCAGTTAGTTGCCGGAGGAGCTTGTCCAGGCTTTCCCCAAGGCCAAGGTCATCTTGACGGATCTGGAGGAGGAGTACAGTGTGGGGTTTTGGGTTCAATTCGAAGCGTAAAGCGGGTAGCAATCTGCGGCCAGGGAAGTGAACACAAGGCTTCGCAATAAAGAAGAAGCCTGAATGATTGCCCATGCTATTCCTCACGACTCCTCTTTCGAACTACACTATACTGGACCCCCGAACCCCGTGCGCTTTTCTTGCCGTTGCTGGACCAGGCTGGTAGAGCACATGTAAAAAACGAAACTGCCAGCTTCCAGCCGCACGGTGCCCCTCTTAGAACGAGCTCTTTGCTATTTCAACACAGTCCTTAACCTTATTAATCGATACCGGTTTTCGTGCAGTGACTCTTGAACGGGGGGCAGGTCGAATTGAATTAAAACACCGCCCCCGAACCCTAAACCCCCAAGTCCACCGTGTGCCCTCTCACCGCTTTCGCAGCTGGGCCCTGAGCTGGGTTCGGCCCTTAGTACCGCATTTCGGATTCCAAGCCCGGCTTTTTCTGTATCCATCTATCTATCTATGGCGCGTCCACCGGTCTCTCAGCGGACTGACATGGATGCATGTAGGTGTGCATGTATATGTGTATTGTATATGTTCAATCAATCAATCAATCAATATATATGTATATATGTGTGTGTATGTATGTATGTGTGTATGTATGTGTGTATGTACGTATGTATGTGTGTAAGTATGTATATATATATACATATATTTATTTATTTATCTATTTATTTTTGCATGTGTTGTCTCTCTATACATGCATACATACATACATACATACATACATACAGGTAGACTCCATCTATACATTGAGTTTGAAATCCTCGAAAAGGGAGCCTTTACACTTCTAAGTGGCGGGGCACCACCATGCCTAGGAACATCTTTCGAGAGGACCAGTGGTGGCTGTCCACGTCGAAGGCCAAAGAGGCCTTGGCACGGGACGTACCTGGAGTTCCCCTCAACAACAGCCCGGTGAGACATTGGCTGCAGCGCATCTTCGCACCATCTTATGGCAAGTTCTGCGCATTCTTGCGCTTCTACTGGGCCGCAAAGCTTGGCTACAGTGGCTCAGAGAAAGCTGTAGTAGACTACGTGTCATGCTAAACCGATGTGAAAATTCCTCGAACATGCCACCTCGCACAAGCGTCAAACAGTCTACATTTGCTTCTCTATGTCAATTTTGAGCAGCCTGTGGACCAAGGTGAGGGGCAGGTAAGTGAGCATGTCGCGCGGCGGCGCTTTCGGGAGCACACCTCCTACGTCAAGGCTCGAATGGCGTCCGCCTACGACGCGAGCCACTTGCTCCTTGGCTTTGAAAGAGACCTGTTTGGGTGAAAGTGTCCGTCTTCTTGCTGATGGCTGTTTGATGTTAGTAGTTGTTTGAGGTTGGTGTACAACGTGATGGACGGCTGGACGCCGCTCTGCAGCTTCTTGGGGCTGAAGGAGCCAGAAGATGGTTTCCCAGAAGTGCGATACAAGAACCGAGACAAGAGCCAACCGGAATGGTTCGGGCGGGTCACGGGCATGACGCTCCTTTTCCATCCTGATGGGGTGATGATCTCGCTCTTGCGGAGAGAGCTGCTGTCCAACGCCGTGACTGGCTTTTCCTTTGCGACGCTGCTGCTCTTTGTGCTTTTTCTGCTTGAGGGTCCCACGCCTGCTGGACTGGTCTACCTTGCAGTACTCGGTACCATCTGGACAGCTTACGTGGTCATGTACGAGACCATGTATAAAATACCCTTCCTCTTTGTCCTCTCCACAACACTCAAGTGCCTGCTGATCGCCGGCTCCTTGCAAACAAGCAGCGTCATCTACGGGGTGCTCAAGGAGCAGGCAAGAAGTTCCCAAGTTAGGGTTCAGGGTTTCAGAGTCCAGGATTTAGGTCTATAGGCTTCAAACAAAAAGCGCTTCCATCTCAGGGTTTGGGGTGTTGTCGAGGCCTGGAAGCCATCCTGAAGCCTAAGCTCCCACAGCCAAGGGAACTCCTTTTCAGGTCGCTTCCAGAGACAAGATCCCTTCGGCTCTGGTGCTTCTCACGAATCGACTTACGTCGACGGCCTGCTGTTGCCTCTACTTGTTGCTCGGCGGTCCAACAACCTTTCAACATTGAATGTTCTTCGATCTTGAACCACGAAATTTGCACTTCGGGGCTTGTTTGAGGTTCCGAAGAATTAGAACAACCATAGCCGCGCCTCAGGCGACACGACACTAGCTGGTATCAAAACGATAGCTTCAGGGGCTGGATGGGAACCTTTGATTTTCTTGGTGGTGTAGTTTCTTGCCATGTTTGCATAGTTTTACGGTATCTCTATGCTAGGGTAAGAGGTGCTTGCAAGCTACCCTTGTTGTAATAGGGGCGGCCATGGTTGTTTCCACTGGTTGCCTGCGAATTGACATTGAAAGCGATCATGACCAGACTGATCGTAAATCTGAGGCTGGCCACCACCAAGCGCGTCAGCCTGGGTGCAAGCCCGCTAGCCTTCTCCTCCTTCGCGGTGACCAACGAGGTCTCTTCCTGGGCCGGATATGAGGTCATGAGATACTTCTCCTATCGCGTGCAGGCGCCTCGGTGCCTGGGGCCGGGGGCTTTGGGACTGGCACTCGGGCTCGGAAACGAGTAGGCGCTGCGTAGAGACAGACGCCCGATGGCTCTTGAGGTGCCTTAACCCTAGACCTGATAGCTTTAGAGGCACCCCTAAAGCCTACTGAAACATTGCCCTTGAGGTAATGTCGAAGTCCGCGAAAATGCTTCCGACGATGATCGTTGGGCGAGCCTGGCTTGGCAAGCGCTACTCACCGCCGGAGCACCTCGGCAGTCCAGAGAAGGGCGATCTCGTGTGCAGGTCCCTTTCAGGGTAGGGCCCTTTACTAAGAATTCGCCTTTCCTTCATTGAAGGAGTTTTGGAGTCTCTGAGTGCCTCGGAGAGAGTTGAAAAGGAAGAAGGCTAGACAGATTGAGTCGCAGCGGCGACTGAGTTGTTGCATCAATTCAGGTACCTTCGTGCTGTCTTGGCACTCTGCTGTGTCTTCGCCATGCATTGCGCCGACGAGTGGGACCGTACCCACCCTGAAGCCTCTTAATGACAACTTCGGCATAGCAGAGCCTGACCCAAAACCTAAAGTTGTTCTGCACTTCCAGGACCAGCCACGGAGTGAAGCGAAGCAACCGCAAGAGTGGCTGATGGGAGTTCTCATGCTCGGGATTTTCTTCATTGCAGACAGCTACACCTCAACCATACAGGAGGGCCTCTATCAGGAGAAGTGCCATTGCAAGCCGTGGGGTTGTTTACGAAAAGAAGAAGATTTGCGCTGCGGATTGTTCCCAGAGTCTGTCAGGAGAAGGGGCTGACGGAAGTACAGATGATGCTTGGCGGTAACTTGCTCGGGCTCACCGTGTGCCTTGGCTGCAGAAACACCCACCCGAGAAGCAGCAAAAGCCCTCAAGACTAGTCTCTGCAAGCAACACGAACGCAAGAAGCCAAGGTCCATGGCGCGCATCGCATCCTCCTTCTCAAAGATTTCTGCTTCCATCGACAACATGTCCATGTCCTCACAGGGCTTGGGGATGTTCTGGCGTCTCTTAGGCCTCGGCGCCTTGGCTGTGACAGTTTTGATTGAGGCGAACACAAGGGGTACTACAGGAGTATCAAGACAAGTTACTGCAAGGGCTATTATATTGGGTTACTGCTGGGTAAAGAGAGACTGTCACATGTCAGGCCCGGTGCACAGCGGCGGATGCCTGCATCCACATGCCGGGAGGGAGGGCGAGAGAGAGAGAGAGAGAGAGAGAGAGAGAGATATATATATATATGTGTGTGTGTGTCAGTACCTAACATTGGGTGCTTTTCGGCATGGCTAGATCAGGTACTTCTACAGAGCATGCCTGACCATGCCATGGTTAGCTGTCGTGTACACGTTACACGTCCACGCTGAAAGTTAGACGCTGATACACATCTTGTTCTGCTGTATGGCCGCAGGTCCAAAGGCCTACTGTGCGTTTTTAGTGGGTCGAGGGGGTAACCTCAAAAGACTGCAGGCAGCAAGCATGGGGAATTCCAATCGTGCTTGAGCTGGCTTCGGTGCTTATGCTCGACTGCTATGCCCCTGCCCCCAACGAAAAGCCTGCAAATACAGCAGTCGCACCTAAGCATGCTAAATATGAGTAGAGACCTTTCAAGCCTTGATTCAGGAGTCATGTCCGCATTGACACAATTCTGCATCTATTCTGCCATCAGCGTCCTGGGAGCCGACGGATTCGCGTGGGCGCAGGCTGCAAGTGGCTGCACAACACGTATAGCATTCGACGGTGTATGGCAACACACCAGCATGACATTGGTTGTCACAGATGATGGTGACACAGACACAAACACACACAGAGACA